ACACGTTCNCATGACTTAGTAGAAAGTACAGGTATTTGAGTTCAACATGTAAGAAGTAGAAAGTACAGGTATTTGAGTTCAACATGTAAGAAGTAGAAAGTACAGGTATTTGTGTTCAAAATGTAAGAAGTAAAAATAAAAAGTCGTCATAAAAAAAAGTAGTGGAGTCAAGTACTCATACCAGAAAAATGTACTTAAGTACAGTTAGAAAGTATTTGTACTACACTACTTCCCACCTAGAGGTATTATAGATTTAGAGGTCACAAGTACAGTAGGCGTTCTTCTTCTTCTTCCCCCTCTTCTTCGTTCACAGTGTCAGTGCAATTCAGCCCGGACTGTCCCATGGGAAACATCCAAGGGAAATGCTGATTGTGTGGAGGACACAGTGGTGTAATCCTCTGTGACGAATCAGATTGCAGCGTCATCAGCCCAGCAGTGTGTTTTTTCTACACTAATTTGAAAGCCATTTCACACGGGGTCTTATGCCTCATTGTATCATGTCGGCAGCGTGCCTGAACAACAGAAATGTGTCGTCTTTTTAAGCGAGAATCCTGATCCTATCACCCTCCTGTCCCCCCTCCTTGTTGTCGTTATAAAGAGGATTACGCTCAGATTTGTCACGTCGCGGGAATTATTGGTGCCGAGATAATCTCTGATCCACCTAATTTGCTGTTGCGGAGAAAGGAATTGGATGAAGTGTGATGGCTTCAGAGTCCTGATGTCTCCTCATTGATCGGTGTCAGCTGTTTTTGAGAGAGGTCCATTATCTGATCGTTGACGCTTTAGCCGTGGTGCGTTCACTGCACGTTGTCCATACCGATTCTCCTGGGACACCTGAGGTTGTTCTGCTGATATATAAAGGAACTACAGCACGGTCACATGACTTCACGTCACCACCGCTAAGCTAAATGTGGCTAATGTTGGGCCATAAAGGAACTACAGCACGGTCACATGACTTCTCGTCACCACCGCTAAGCTAAATGTGGCTAATGTTGGGCCATAAAGGAACTACAGCACGGTCACATGACTTCTCGTCACCACCGCTAAGCTAAATGTGGCTAATGTTGGGCCATAAAGGAACTACAGCACGGTCACATGACTTCTCGTCACCACCGCTAAGCTAAATGTGGCTAATGTTGGGCTATAAAGGAACGAAAGCATGGTCACATGACTTCTCGTCACCACCGCTAAGCTAAAGGTGGCTAATGTTGGGCTATAAAGGAACTACAGCACGGTCACATGACTTCACGTCACCACCGCTAAGCTAAAGGAGGCTAATGTTGGGCTATAAAGGAACGAAAGCACGGTCACATGACTTCTCGTCACCACCGCTAAGCTAAATGTGGCTAATGTTGGGCTATAAAGGAACTACAGCACGGTCACATGACTTCTCGTCACCACCGCTAAGCTAAAGGTGGCTAATGTTGGGCTATAAAGGAACTAAAGCACGGTCACATGACTTCACGTCACCACCGCTAAGCTAAAGGAGGCTAATGTTGGGCTATAAAGGAACGAAAGCACGGTCACATGACTTCACGTCACCACCGCTAAGCTAAAGGAGGCTAATGTTGGGCTATAAAGGAACGAAAGCACGGTAACATGACTCCATGTCACCACCGCTAAGCTAAAGGTGGCTAATGTTGAGCGTGATGACGTTTAGTCGTCTCATTCAGACACTTGTTAGCAACCACCGTTTTTTTAATTCATCAGTGGGGTATTTAGCCTACTGACGTATTTGATGTCTAAATATCTTCAGCTTGTTTTAACCAAAGACTTTATTTCAGGATAACAACCAAAAACACACTCACAAAACCATTGACATCCAGACCAGAGGAAAGGGAGTTTTAAGAACTCAGACCTGCACCACTCTGGAGATTGGAGTTATTTTCTGTTGAATCTAGACGGGAACATTTAGAGATTTTTCTCCGGGGTAACCTCAGGTTGTTCTGCTCTGATAACATATCGACAGCATCCGTAACGCTCTTCACTAACGCTCATCAGTCACTCTGACCTCGAGGAGACGTTAGAGTGAGATATTCAAACTGACCATCACAGCAGCTGGGTGGTCATGTTATTGATTAGATCTCAGATCATTTTCACAGTGAACACAATCATGCTCTCCATGATTTTAATTTGGAGAAAAGGTTGTTGGAAGAAGGGAAGAAAGCAATATGGGAGCAGGAGGGATGTTATTTGTGTGTTGTTGTTGTGGTTGTTCTAACAATAAAATGCAAACTGACACATAGAGATTTATTATTGTTGCCGGGTGGTGCACAACATTTTTGTCAACAGTAGGTCTTCAAAACAGCAAGAGCATTTTTTATAAGCTTCAAAATGCTAATTATCTCTTAATTGTTCCGATCAAAACCTGCTTTTTATGTGTTTTTATTTGTTTTAAATTGTTGTAGTTTGACTAAAAAATAAAAAATAAGCTTCACTTTCGTTTCAATAACTATTTTGGTCTGTAGCGTTCAATCAAAATGTTGTCATACTTTCGTGTTGTGCTTCTTCGTTGTTTTGTTTTCTAAGAGAAATCTCTATGGACAAGAAGCAGTTAACATAAGTTATCTTGAGCAAAGGTGATGTAAAAGAAAGAGTATGGAAAGAAAAGACTGGATGACAGAGTTACATTTACAGCAGCATCAGTAAATGCAACATTCAAAATACTTTTTTGCAAACTGACTCAGAGGCTCATTGATGTTGTCAGGCGGAGCACAACAGGGCTCGTCTCCGGGCCCTCCTCTTTTTGGATGGAAATTAAACACAACATGTCCTCGTACCTTAACGACAGAACAGGCTGATTTATAGTGACTCCCAAAACAACATGGCTGTTCTATTTAGCGCTTTTAATCTGATTAGGTCAGGAAATAAAACTACTTTCTTTATGGGTTAGGGTTCCTNTCGGTGTGTAACGGTGGAAATCGAATCGCCAACCACTGCACTTCAGTACACTGCGACGACGTCAAGGTAATATCGGGTGTAATCGTGGAAATCGAATCGCCACCCTCGGATTGTAAATGAAAGAATGTAGTATTCACCACAATTATACACCCTCTAATAGAACCACTTGTCTTCGAGCAATTATAGTATTTTACACACAAACGGTGTCTCTAATAAAAGACGGTTATTTAGTTTTAGATTTCTGTTTAGGGTACTTGAAAAACTTTTCCTTCGGGAACTCTACGATTTTTGAGAGATAATATAACACCATTTGACCCAGAGTAACAGGGAACAGCGGGTACAGCTAGAACCACCCTTCGCTTCCTCACTCCCACTCCCAAACGCCGGACGTGACGGCCTGAGTCTCCCAGAGAGACTTTGTCGACAGAGTGTTTGACCGTCCTACTTGCCGGGTTAGACGAAATGCAGACTTCTTCTTCTCTCCTTTTCTTAATCTCCTTTAGGTGAGATTTAGGTGTCGTACAACCTACCGTGTCGACCTCTATTCTGTACAACATCTACGTGAAGAACCACAGTAACAGTCACGAAAAAATAGTAAAAGAAGGTAAAAACAAAGCGAAGTAATCCCAGACCCCCGTTATACCTCTTATTAGTGTTAAAGTCTACTTAAAAAAATAGCTATAAAACATTCCACTAAAATAACCCCGAAAAGTGTTGTATAAACTCATACACATAAACTATTACTAAGTCATCATAAAATATTCTATATCAGAACGTACACATTTCCGTATATTTAAATCATATTTGAATTTTTGATAGCACATATATACAACTTAAACTGGTATGTAGAGGACAAGTTCAGATCAGGATAATATCTTTTAATTGATCACGTTAAAAGAATAGAATTTAATCGCTTATACAAATACAGAGCATAAAATTACAAATATAAAAAATATGAACGGTCGAACTGAAGTTATAGGTTCATTAGAGGAAACAAAGAAATTTCCAACAAGAGAAATCCAATAAAGAAAGGACACACACAATATAAACACTACCTCCGCACACCGCGTCAACCTGATCAGCACAATCGCAAACCTAGTCCACAAACAGGTCACAAGATTGGGGTGACGTCAGTCGTACAGCAAACAGGGACTCTGTGAAGTGGGGTTTAACGAAGGGCACCCCTACGAAAGTCACAACTCATACATCAACGAAAACCTATGTTCGAGACATCAGTACATATACATTACATACAATAAACCACGTACCTGTTACCACACGTTCCGAATTTTAGGTACTTCATACAACGTTAATATCCCATTACCTAAAACCAAAAGCTGTACTCTTTGTCGTTCTATCTGTTCACACCTGTGAAATCTACCTGACAACCTTGTCATTGGCTACAGTATGTTTGAAAGTGTCCATAGAAAACGTCCCTCTCAAATATAATCAATTATATTACCCTCAAGTCATACATAGACAATGGCGTCGTTCCGGTGTAAGTTAGAGTACGGTAGAGAACGACGAGTCACTGGATCTTTTTACGAAAACTCTTAAGAATGGGTCAGCTCCTGTTGCCCTTACACACTACTCCGTCCTTGACAAAGAGTCTCGACTAATAAGAGGACCGAAACTCCTCAACCGAGAGAGTCGAACAAGTCCCTTTTTCCCTTGACTTCTAACTAGACCTTAGAAGACTCGTAACAAAAACATCAAACCAAAACCACCGAAAATCAAGGACCCCTCATTTCACCACCGCTAAGCTAAAGGCGGCTAATGTTGGGCTATAAAGGAACTACAGCACGGTCACATGACTTCACGTCACCACCGCTAAGCTAAAGAAGGCTAATGTTGGGCGTGATAGCGTTTAGTTGTCTCATTTAGACACTTGTTAGCAACCGCTGTTTTTAAATGAACTAGTGTGGTATTTACTGACGTATTTTATGTCTTAGAACAAAATGTTAAAGTTCCTCTCGGTTGAACCACATACTAAACCATTATTTACTCTTTACATTATTATTTACATTCCAGACTAGAAGAAATAAACCGGTATTTTCTTTGAGATTTACTCACTTTGAGACGTTTTGATCTGTTTCTGCAGCCGATAAGAGTGAACGGGGTGAAGGTTTACACAGAGAATGTGGACAAGAGGCAGGTCATCATGGATCTGCAGATCAGGTACACACTCCACCACTCTCACACAAACACTTTAACCCAAATACATTTTATTTTGTAAAGGATAAGGCTTCTGATATTCCATATTTTACCAATTGTCAACAATCCCCATGAAAAGAACAATAACAACAATGGCTACTATCAGCAAAGTAATGCAAATAGTCTCAAATGCACTTTTTACTCTTATTTACATTTTATTTAGCTGACGCTTTAATCCAAAGCAACTTACAATTACCAATTACAGGGACATTCTCCCTGGAGTAACTAAGGGCTAAGTGCCTTACTCAAGGGCACACTAGTGGTGGTGTTCCAGGCGGGATTTGAACTCACAACCTTCCGATCTTCAGCCCACCTCACTATCCATTAGACCACCACTACCCCATTTAAATGACAAATTGTTGAAAATGAAGCTGTTTTATTATATATTTACTTTGTTTTGGTCTTTGCTTAGGATGTGTTGACACTGAAGTTTTAGATTAATACGGAAGAGGATTAGGGTCGCTTTAATCTAAAAAAATCTTCACTTTTGGTGAGAATTGGTCGTCCTTTTGAATCCTCTTCTGTAGAAAAACACTCAAACATTTTCTCTTAAAAATTCAAGTGTTTCTGCTTCAGTTTGTCAAGAACAAATGCAAACCATTAAAACATGAATGTACAATTCACATTTGTATTTCCTTCTTCCTTCCCTCACAAATACCATCATTGAATTTATTTGTAATCTTTCCAGTTTTGTGGGGAATACAGAGATTGACGTGGACATCAAGAAGTACTACTGCAGAGCGGGAATCAAGAGTATTCAGGTAGGACTGCAGCGGGGAATATATAATGTGAAGTGCTATTAACATATTTAATGCTGTGTCATGATGTAGGTTTGTTAGCCAGGGTGACATAGAATACAAATTACCTCACTAAAGAGGTTTGTCCCGTCCTGTTCCTGTTGTGTAACGAGATTTACAAAGTGTTCAAACTATTAGACGATCATCAAAATAAGAGAAATAATTCACTTTTTTCATGTTTTGAATCATTTTAAATGCAATTTTGTTGGTCTTTAGGGTGGTTGTTTGTTAGACAAGCAACACATACACCAACAATCAGGATCCCTGCACTTGTAAATGACTTTTTTTCAAACTACTTTAAATGAACAATCAATAAATCAGAGGAACAATCACCTGGTTACGTGATGATGAAAATATTTCTTGGTTGCAGCCGTAGTCAGATTTGTATTTGTGGAATAATTTCTTTAACATAAAATACAATAGAATAAAGAAAATTATTAAATTATTACTCAAAGTAATTCAGTTTGCATGTTTCTAAACTTGAACTGCACATTAATATTTATTTATGAGGCTAAATAGGTAAAGAAATGGACGGACATTCAGACTGGTTTTCCATTTACTGATAAAGACAATTATCCAATTATCAATTCTGAGTTGCCCGATGCTGTACAGCTTAGAGTTAAAATAACAACAATCCAGCCATTAAAACAAACAAAAACACTGAATAAATTAACATATTAGCCCAAAGTGACCGCCTGCTGCTTCCCCTCCTCTCTCCTCGGCTCGCATCTCCTGTGGGCGGGACTAACTCACGAGGATAGGAGTCGAGGATAGGAGTCGAGGATAGGAGTCGAGGAGGGGAAATCCCAGAAATGAGATATGGCCTAAGACTGCGATATAATGTTTATGTAGCAATAATACATACGACATATATGTTTTAAATGTCTCCAGTACCGATAAAAAGACCAATAACGTTGGAGTTGAACGGCGCGTAAAACACACGTGATGACCTCACCAACGAATCGACGACTGAATTAGTTGGCAACTAATTTGGTCGTCGATTTTAATCGATTAAGTCGATTAGTTGTTGGACCCCTAAGTAGTAATATATAATACATGTTATTTATATAGCGCTTTTCCCGGTGCTCAAAGAGCAGCTGCGTGTGTGTAAACCGCCCGCCCCCTCAGGGCTCTCGACTAACTTTTTTCACCATCCTCCGCTGGAACCGTCCCCCGAAATACAACTAAGCCGTCCCCGAAATTAATGTGGCGTCCCGAAATTTAAAATACTATTTCTACATTATCATTAGCTAGAATCATTCAAAGTGAGCTTTTAACAATAAATACAAACATCAATACAACATCATGAATGCATAATTCATCAACCTTTTATTTCGCACAAACAAAGGCCAAACACTATATTAAACAAACCACAGAGCGAGAATCGGGGAGAAAGCCCTTTCGTACGAATCATGATCATAACAAAAAAAAGTCCACTCTGTCCTGAAGACAGCAAACCAGAGTAACCACTAACCAGGAGGACAGTACTGTAAACCCAGTCAGTCACCCTTTACAAACGCCGCCGCGGACCCCGCCCCTCGCCACAGAAGCGGAGAGAGAGATCCTCGTCTGGATTGGAAAGCTCGAAAATACATCATAGACGCATGTTAGTCCTTATGCCAATATTCAGAACGGAGTGGCGAAACTAAACGCGATATAATTATGTAGCATAATACATATGAGGAATATTTTCTAAATGTATCCAGTACCGAAAAAAAGGGCCGATAACGTCGGAGCTTAACGTTACCACGGTCCTTAATAGTTCAGCCCTGGGCCCGTTTAATACCGGGGCTCGGTACCCCATCCCTAGTATGTAACATATTTCCTTTATGATTTGAGAAGGAAAGCAACACAGATATCATCCTCCAAAGCTTCATCCTCCCCTCTTTAAACAGTGTGGATAACCTAAATCTGATCACTCTTTCAACAGAGTTAATCACGACAGCAGCTACTCATTTTCTTTGACCCTGGTGTGACCCTTGCTTACTGCAGAAACAGCTTTACATAATGTGTTGACACAGGCCTGATAAAGAGCTGTTATCCTCCTCCGCTGCATCAGGCCATAATTTGCTGTTCAGAGATCAGACGAAAGTGAAGCGCAAGAGAAAAGATTTACATACAGTGAATATTTGCTTTTAAACTGTACAGCTGGCAGCGTGTCGGCTTTTAGAGACCTGCCTGAAGAAATAGAGTGGTGTAAAGCTGAGCATGAATGATGAGTCACTTTCTGAGACTTCGCGTACTTTCCTTCACGCCACTTATCAAGAACAGACTGCTTCTTCTGTGTGGAATAAATGAAAACATTCACTATTTATATTATTTTAGCAGGATATTGAAATAAGTTTTCTCATAGTAGCTTAAATATAATAGCTTTTATTAGTAGATATGAAACTTAATCCCCTCGTTTTTTGTTTAGACATTTTTTATCTTTGCCCTTGTTTAAGATTTTGCCGCTGAACAATCCCGATGCCGCTTCATTTTATTATTTTTTATTTACTCTATTCTATTTTATTTATTTATTATTTATTTATTTTATTTTATATTCATTGTAAATTTATATCTTTAAAGCGTATTTATTATTATATTTTATTTATGCATTTATTTAATTTGTCCTTACATAATATTACTAACTTTTCCTTAAGTACAAATCTAAGACTTCTCTACCTCGGGTCAAATCACCATCCTGACACACACAATCTCCTGCCATGTTTTATAAGCAGAAGGAGGTTGGGTGAGTATAAACAAAATGAATCCTAAATCTCTCCACTGCCCATTTTGCTCTTAAATGTTGGTATTTGATTATCACAGGAGTTACGACCAAATTTGGTCTGCAGACGGGGCAGGCTGCATATTCGAGCTCTGAGTCACTGACAGAGAGCGTCCTTGAAGTGAAACATCGGTGGGTGTGTTTGTGTGTGTGTGTGTGGTGGTGGTGTGGTGTGTGTGTGTGTGTGGTGTTTGGGTGTGGTGTGTGTGTTGTGTTGTGGGTGTGTGTGTGTGTGTGTTGTGGTGTGTGGTGGTGTGTGTGTGTGTTGTGGTGGTGTGTGTTGAAAGTCATGTTAAACAGTGAGACGAAACAATAAGATAATACCAGTTGATACCATGTAATCTCGAATTACAGTAAGGAATTCAGCTAAAAACAGCTGATAAATGGCCTTGCATGATATGTTTGGGAAACTTTTTATAAATACTTTCAGTGAGATATTAAACATCACTAAGAGCGTGGGTGGGGGAGGGGAACGTAATTCATTAATAGGGGGGGGGGGGGGGGGGGGGGGGGGGGGGGTGGGGGGGGGGGGGGGGGGGGGGGGGGGGGGGGGGGGGGGGGGGGGGGGGGGGTGGGGGGGGGGGGGGGGGGGGGGGGGGGGGGGGGGGGGGGGGGGGGGGGGGGGGGGGGGGGGGGGGGGGGGGGGGGGGGGGGGGGGGGGGGGTTGTATTGTATCCTCTTCAGCTCCATGGGACGCTGAGGTGTGATGAGCCCTGCTGGGAGCATGCCTCTGAGTCGGAGCGCTGTCCGGTCTCTTCCTCAAGAAACCGGTGAGTTTTTATCTTAAAGGACCTATCACATGAATATGTGTCACCGGTGTTCCAGGGAACTCACCAAGTGTCCAAAAAACACAACCCTCTCTATTTCCTCCATACCCAAATCTCTTAAAAAGGGCTACAACGGAGCTGATCCAGATTTGCGTCCGATATGACGTAACATCTGAAAATGTGACCACGGGCCTATCAGAAGACTTGCTATCAGAAACAATGCCCGAGTTTTGACGAAAAATAATATGGTTGTTTTACATTAGCATCGCCTAACACTCAGAGCTAACCGGTACTGGGAGAGTATGTGTGTGGAAGAAGCAGTAAGTAAAAAGGACTCAACCTTGGTGGTATAACCGGCAGAGAGAAAGCCTTTGAGCTCCATACTTGTTTCAGAAATAATCCTTGATAATCCATGATATGGGCGTTTCATCACCGCAGTATTTGTTTAGACAGGAGCTGCCGGTCCCGCATGAGCTCAACGCCCTCCTTTATTTTTTTAAAGGTTTATCATAAAATCAACCTTTGAAACAGGAAGTGAAATAGAGGGATATAGAGCAGGCTATAATCTGTTTGTATTTTGAGCAGAACACGGTCATAGACATGATTTTATATATTTTTATATATCTGAGACCTATGCTATTGCTAAAAATAGCATGGATAGGACCTTTAAACAACACAACAGTGTCAAAGACAAAAAAACAGGTGTGCAGGTTGTCAATTTTTTGTAACCCCCACCTCCCCCTGCAAATAAGACATTTAAAATATAGACCAAACACCATCAAGAATCAGAAACAGGTTTATTACCAGGTAGGTTGAGGACCTACGAGGAAATTTGCCTTGGGTGTCAAAGACACAGATAGAGAACTATTTTCAAGAACACTGTAGTAAAAAAATCATATGGTATGAAATCACGCACACTAAAATTAAAACAACAAACAAAAACATTTAGTCCATGATTGGACTTAATAAATCTGTGTTCTAATTCATTAAAGGGGCACATATTCATGTATAAAAGATTACATAAAGTGCATTTTGGCATGTAGGTCCCTTAAGACTGAATTAAGATACACGATTTAATTAAAGTCTAATCATGACTAACATGTTTTTTTGTTTGTTGTTTTTAATTTAGTTGTGATTGATTTCAACCAATATGTTTTTTACTACAGTGTTTCTTAAAAGTAGTCCTATCTGGTGTTCTTTGACCCAAGCAATTCCTACGTAGTCTCAACTACCTGGTAAGTAAGACCTGTTTCGATTCTGATGTGTTTGTCCTATCATTTTTAGAATCTTATTCTTTGGGGAGGGGGTTAGCAAAAAAGCAACCTGCACACCCTGTTTTTTTCTTGACACTGTATGTGTTGTTTAAAGGTCACCTATCATGCTATGTTAGCAATAGCATAGGTCTCAGATTATAGAAAATATATAAAGAATTCAATGTCCTATGACGTGGTTTTTGCTCAAAATACCCAAAACAGATTATAGCCATGCCTCATATCCCTCTTTTCACTTCCTTTTCAAATGGTTGATTTTATGTATAAACCTTTAAAAAAATAAAAAGGAGGGGTCTGGAGCTCATGCGGGACCGGCAAGCTACTGTCTAACTAAATACTGCGGTGATGAAACGCCATATCATGGATTATCAAAGAATTTCTGAAACCGTATGGAGCCAAGCTTTCTCTCTTGCCGGTTATACCACAAGGTGAGTCCTTTTTACTTCCTGCTTCTCACACACATACTCCTCCAGTAACAGTTCAGCTCTGAGGTGTTAGCGATGCTAATGTAAACACCCAACATATTACGTCAAAAACAGTCGGCATTGTTTCTGATGCAACGTTCTGATAGGCCCGTGGGTCCCACATTCAGATGTACGTCATATCGACGCAAAATCTGGATCAGCTCCGTTTGTAGCCCCGTTTTTAGAGTTTGGGGTAGGAGGTAAAGAGGAGGGTTTATTTCCCTGACGCTGCGTAGTTCCCTACACACCGGGGACCACCATGTGATGTATAAAACACATCGAAAAAGTGCATTGCATGTAGTCCCTGTTAGATAAAACTCACCGGTTTCTTTGAGGAAAAGACGGCAGCCCTCCCGATCAGAGCATGTCTCGCATAAGAGGCTCCATCACAACTCCTCAGCGTCCCCATGGAGCTGCAGAGATACAATACAACACATAATGAATTAGTCAGGCAGCCTAGTGATTTTTAATATCTCACTGAAGACGGATTTATTAAAAGTCCCATAACATACATGCAAGGCCATTTATCAGCTGTTTTTAAGCTGATATTCCTTTGTATTTCTATACATGTATCCAACTTCTATTACGTTATTTGTTTCATTCACTGATTTATACATGCTTTTTCAACACACAGCACACAACAACACACACACACACACACACACACACCACACACACACACACGACACACACACACACACCACACACACACATCACACACATACACACACACACACACACACACACACACACCACACACACACACTACACACACACACACACACACCACACACGAATGTTTCCACTTCAAGACGCGTACTCTGTCAAGTGTACTCAGAGCTCAGATATGCAGCCTGCCCGTCTGCAGCCCAATTTGTCGTAGACTCACTGTTAGGTAAGCAAATACCACATTAAGAGCAAAATGGCGCAGTGGAGAGATTTAAAGTTCATTTTGTTTATACTCACAACCTCCTTCCGTTATGCAAACATGGGCAGGAGATTGTGTGGCAGGTGGTGCATTGAAAACCCGAGGGGAGAAGAAGTACTTAGATTGTACTAGGAAAAGTATAATTATTATGTAAGACAATTAAATAAATGCATAAATAAAAACATAATAATTAATACTTAAAAATAAAAAATACATGAAATAAAATAAAATAAATAAATAATAAAAATAAAATAGTAAATAGAGTAAATAAAAAAATAAAATGAAGGGCATCGGAGATTGTTTCAGCGGCAAAAAATGCTTAAACAAGGCAAGATAAATAAAGTCTAACACAAACGAGGGGATTAAGTTCATATCACTAATAAAAAACCTATATATTTAACTACATGAGAAAACTTATTTTCCATATCCCTGCTAAAATAATATAAATAGAGATGTCTTCCATTAATTCCACCCACAGAAAGAAGCAGTCCTGTTCTTTGATAAGGCGTAGAAACGTAACGCAAGAAGCTCAGAAAAGTTGACTCCTCATTCCTGCTCAGCTTTAACCACTTATTTCTTCAGCAGTCCCTCTAAAAGCCGACACGTCTGCCTGTACGTTTAAAAGCAAAATTCACTGTATGTAAATCTTTCTCTGCCTCACTTTTCTCTGATCTCTGACCACAAATATGGCCTGATGCAGCGGAGAGGATACAGCTCCTTTATCCCAGGCCTGTGTCAACACATTATGTAAAGTGTTTTCTGCAGAAGGCAGGGTCACACAGGGTCAAGAAATGAGAGCTGCTGTCGATGATTAACATCTGTCTGAAGAGCTGATCAGATTTAGAGTTATACACACTGTTTAAAAGAGGGAGGATGAGCTTTTGGAATGATATCTGTGGTGCTTTCCTTGCTCAATTCGTAAAGGAACAATATGGACATAATAGGATGGGTACCGAGCCCGGTATTAAACGGGCCCAGGGGCTGAATTATTAAAGACCGTGTAACGTTAAGCTCCGACGTTATCGGCTTTTTATCGTAACTGGAGACATTTAGAAAATATCTCCATATGTATTTGCTACATAAATAATATTCGGCAGTTTTAGTTTCGCCAACTCCGTTTTAATATGCAAAAGACTACAAACATGCGTCCTATGATGTTTTTCGAATTCCAATCCAGACGAGACTCTCTCTCCCGTCTGTGGTGGCGAGGGGGCGGCCCGCGGGGCAGGTTGTAAGGTGACTGACTGTGGTTCAGACTTCCCTCCTGGTTGTGGGTTACATCTGGTTTCTGTCTTCGGACAGAGGGTTGATTTTTTTTGTTAATTGGTGGGATTGATTTGATTCATATTAGAGTCATTTTCTCGTTTGTGTGTTTGTTTAAATATATATGGCCTTTTGTTATTTACTAAAATAAAAAAGGTGATGAATTATCATCTAATGATTGAGATGTTTTATTTATGTTAAACTCACTTGAATGATTGCTAGCTAATGATAATGTAGAAAAACTAATATTTTTAAATTTGGGACGGTCCACATTAATTTCGGGACGGCTTAGATTGTATTTCGGACTGTCCGCAGGAGGATGGTGAAAAAAGTTAGTCGAGAGCCCTGAGGGGGCGGGCGGTTTACACACACGCAGCTGCTCTTTGAGCACCGGGAAAAGCGCTATATAAATAACATGTATTATATATTACTACTTAGGGGTCCAACAACTAATCGACTTAATCGATTAAAATCGACGACCAAATTAGTTGCCAACTAATTCAGTCGTCGATTCGTTGGTGAGGTCATCACGTGTGTTTTACGCGCCGTTCAACTCCAACGTTATTGGTCTTTTTATCGGTACTGGAGACATTTAAAACATATATGTCGTATGTATTATTGCTACATAAACATTATATCGCAGTCTTAGGCCATATCTCATTTCTGGGATTTCCCCTCCTCGACTCCTATCCTCGACTCCTATCCTCGACTCCTATCCTCGTGAGTTAGTCCCGCCCACAGGAGATGCGAGCCGAGGAGAGAGGAGGGGAAGCAGCAGGCGGTCACTTTGGGCTAATATGTTAATTTATTCAGTGTTTTTGTTTGTTTTAATGGCTGGATTGTTGTTATTTTAACTCTAAGCTGTACAGCATCGGGCAACTCAGAATTGATAATTGGATAATTGTCTTTATCAGTAAATGGAAAACCAGTCTGAATGTCCGTCCATTTCTTTACCTATTTAGCCTCATAAATAAATATTAATGTGCAGTTCAAGTTTAGAAACATGCAAACTGAATTACTTTGAGTAATA